TCAACAACAATTCTCGATCTATGAAACTTATTGAAATTGAAACTACATGTTCGTTTTCACTTCGTTCGTTCCCTTCGATTGTTCATCGCGATTTTCTTAAAAGACCGAGAAATCCTTGAGAATCTCTTTGCATTGTTAAACGCTTCACGCAATGCTGTACAATGTACCAGTCCGAAGTGTAATATATTGGGTTGGGGAATAAGATCGTAGCGTTTTTATATTTTCTTTTATTTTACAACGATTTTTTGCTGTTCGACAAAGTGTATAATGTTCATTCGATAGAGCTCTTTCTGCTCTAAAAAAAACTGTGCTAATCGTGTTTTTGAGTAATTTAATTTTTTATTACTTTTCAGGCTTAGAAATGGAATATCCAGGAGGTAAACAGCAACATTTTCGACACTTTCTCTTCTTCGCTTTTCATCGCGGCTAAAAAGCTGCTGAAGCAGCCCGGGACATTTGCAACGTATACGGAGAAGGTGTTATAGACGAGTCTACAGAAATGGTTTGCGAAGTTCAAAAATGGTGATTTTGACGTCGACGACACGCCTCGCAGCGGAAGACCTTCCGAATTCGACGAAGAGCGTCTCGAAGCACTTTTGAAAGAGGACGGTCACCGAACAAGTCGTGAATTGGCCGAAAAAATGAACTGCGATCATAAAACGATTCTCAATCATCTTCGTTCAATGGGGTTTGCCGAAAAATTGGGAGCCTGAGTGCCTCGTGAGCTTAACGAAAACAATAAAGAAAATCGCCTTCAAATTGCTGGATAAAAACGCTACGAACTTATTCCCCAACCCAATAATTTGATAAAGAATATCGGATGAAACGTATTGAAAAGTTGTTGAAAATACCGTGATCTTCTGAATTCGAATTTAACCCAGGCTCCCAATTTTTCGGCAAATCCCATTGAACGAAGATGATTGAGAATCGTTTTATGATCGCAGTTCATTTTTTCGGCCGATTCACGACTTGTTGGGTGACCCGTCCTCCTTCAAAAGTGCTTCGAGACGCTCTTCGTCGAATTCGGAAGGTCTTCCGCTGCGGGGCGTGTCGTCGACGTCAAAATCGCCATTTTCGAACTTCGCAAACCATTTCCGTGCCGTAGACTCGCCTATGACACCTTCTCTATATACGTTGCAAATGTCCCGGGCTGCTTCGGCAGCTTTTTGGCCTCGATGAAAAGCGAAGAAGAGAAGGTGTCGAAAATGTTGCTTTTTACCCCTTGGATATTCCATTTCTAAGCCTCAAAAGTAATAAAAAATTAAATTACTCAAAAACACGATTAGCACAGTTTTGTAGAGCAGAAAGAGCTCTATCGAATGAATATTATACACTTCGTCAAACAGCGAAAAATCGTTGTAAAATAAAAGAAAATATGAAAACGCTACGAACTAACTCCCCAACCCAATAATTGTTCCCGTACGACGAACACGGTCCGATGATCGTCGAGTTTCATGCACCGTGCTCGACAGCCTGCTATAATAATCGTTCCCGTCCGCTTATCTCGATGCGCACGCGTCCTTTGCCTTTGTCCTTTCCGTTTTCTCACGTCCAGTTCGCGCGTTTTCGTGTTCGCGACCTTCGTATCGAACGATCCACCGAAAAACGTTCCCTATTTCTGCTTTTATACCCGACGTTCTCCGTCGACCTTTCTTGTTCGTTCAAGGATCCGGCTTTATTTTCGTCGATTCTGTTCCGAGACGGATAAGGAGGAGGAGGAAACGAGAAAGAAGGAAGTCGCGTGCGAGTCACGGTGTCGTCCTTCCGTTCGAAGGACCGTTACTCACCTCAGCGATGATTGATCGATAGCGTTTGCGGTCGCCGGTATTTTCAGGCGGATCTCGAATTCAGAAAATTACACGGTTCGGCGGTGCGCCGTAATTCAACGAGCTATTCATTAATTCTTGTTATTATCGGGACGCTTTTTTACGGATTCGATCGGTGGCCAGAGGTTAGCTCGCGTACGCGTTCCTGCTGTTGATGGCTGGCGCGAATTTATTTCGTTCGGAATTACAGTAAATTCTCTCTGATCGACGCTTAGCTTGAAAAGGAAAATGGACGATTTGGGGAGAGGATTATTTGTTTCGGAAGGCGATAATCGAGCCTTGCGTTTTGTTTTTATAATTATCGACTGTCGACGACTGTAAAAACGAGCCGCGAGGCTCGAATAATCATCTTTCAAGATAAATAATACTCTTTTCAAATTGTCCATTTCTGCTTCCAAGCTGAGCGTCAATTAGGGAGGGTTTTCTGTATCGAGCGGACTGTTTTATAAACCACGGGTTTGGTCAGAAATTATCCTTCTTTTTATTAGAAATTAATCCTTTCGTTGTCACCTTTTAGCAGCACAAATTAATTCTTTCGTAGATTGTATTCACCTGTTTGGTAGTTTTAGTGTTAAAGTCAGTTTTAGCATTAATTTAAATTAGTATTAATTAAGTAGTATTAATTTAATTTATCATCAATTTAATAGTTTCAGTACTGTTAGAAATTAATACTTTCGTTGACACCTTTTAGTAGCACAAATTAATTCTTTCGTAGATTGCATTCACCTTTTTTAATACTCCAAATTAACTTTTTTATAGATTGTACTCACCTTTCAGTGCTCTAAATTAATTCTTCTGTAGATCTTGTACACCTTTTTACAAATAAGATTAACGCTTTGGCAGTCCTTCTCATTATCTTGGAAACGATCTTCACTCTTCTGCAAATTAAATACACTTATTTGTAATTACTTGAAATTATTTGTAATTATTTGTAATTATTTATAATTGTTTACAATTATTTATAAGTATATATAATTGTTTGCAATTATTTATAATGGTAAAGATTCAAGTAATCAAGTTCGAATTATATTATAAATAAGTACATATAAATTCATAGTTCTATAATCTAGTTTGAATCATTTTATAAACAGGTATCTGAATTCATCATTTGCGATCTAATTCGACTTATTTTATAAATAAGTATCTGAATTAATATTCAGTTTAAAAATTCGATAAAAGATGTTCGACTCTGATCGGTAAAACGGTTAAAATTTATATAAAATATAATCTACAGATGTATCGATTTTAACGAAACTATCGCGCGTATTTAATCGTGCCGTGTCGAAAATTGTTCGAACACTTTCGCGTACAGATTTAAGAATTTCCACGACCCACCGATCACAAGCCTCTGCCTGTTTTTGAATTTCGTTATCCTTTCGCGCGAACGAATGCAAGAAAGCGAGCCGAAAGTAATCCACGTTTTATCGATCGTCGGAATTCCACGCAACAACAATTACCTGGCCGCGGCCCGCTAACAAGGAAGTGTAATTAATGTTTACTTAAACGAAGCGTATTCCTGTTTTTCCTGAACGATGTTAAAATAACCATATCGCCAATTATGCAACAAGTGTTTCGCTCTTCCCATTATCGCGTATAAACGACGGGGGCATGCGCGCCGTGCACTTTCTAAAAATTCTGCGAATTGCCTTCACCGGTCTTCTCTAATATTCCTATCGGTCGAAACCGAGCGTGCTGCCGCGGGTCCGTTCGTTCGGCGAATATTAAGCGTTCGAATGGTGTCGCGCGCAGGTGGCTCGACGTTTATGCAAGATCATAAGCTCACGCGCGATGTAATAATTTATGCAATCTTAGCCAATCGGGTTGCCAAAGAACGAGTTTCCACGAGTCTCGAAAACTGGCCTTGAATTCGTAGAGCACGCGTCTCGGTTACGCCAACTTTCAGCACCATCGATACCAACATGGCGGCCATCCGAACGAGAGCTATGCTTCTCTTCGGTTTAATTAAATACGCTCTCTTGAATAGTAGAATATGCTTGCGTCTGTTCTGTTTTCGTTCCGTGCCAGTTATTTTACTGAGATTTCTAAAACTATTTTTTGCTTTTAAAATAATGGAATTTAAGGATGTTATATTCCGTTCAATTCATTTAAACGCCTGTAATTAGAGAGAAATTTTCTATGAAGATCTTTTCCCTTGCAATTGGTGCAGGAATTTTGGATAAAGCGAGTCTGCAAATAAAGTCTCCGAATAAAGTGCAGGATTCTGCGTAGAAATTCGCAATCCAACAATGCATCCGAACGCGTTATTTTCTTTGAAAACCAGTACAAAATGTTAAGGCATCATACTTTTTCGAAAAAGCATTCCAAATCTTTCTGTAGCACTAAAATTACCGAGCCGGTTAAAATAATCGATTTCTTATTTTTCATCTAAAAATCGATGAAATTATAGATACTGTATTATAGGAAATTGTCGAATAAATTTCTTAATCCAAGTATATATATCCAAGTATATTATGTAATATATATAATATATATATTTAGTATAATAATATTATAATATAGTATATATATAGTATAATAATATATAATAATATATATAATAATAATATAATATATTATTGTATTATATATATTATATATATAATAATAATTGTCGAATAAACCTCTTAATCCAAGTATATTATGTAATATATATAATATATATATTTAGTATAATAATATTATGATGTATATAGTATAATAATATATAATAATATATATAATATAAAAAATATTACAATAAAAATTGTGCAGAATCTAAATAAATTCAGTCACGTCATT